CACACACACACACACACACACACACACACACACACACACACACACACAAACATTCAGACTCAAAATAACTTGGGCTGGAGCCATGGCTCAGGAGTTAAGAACACTTGTTGCTCTTGCAGAGGATTTGGGTTCAGTTCCCAGCACCTACATCATGATTTACAACCATTCATAACTCCAGTTCCAGGGATTCCAACACCCTTCTCTGACCTCCAGGGGCACCAACACAACGTGGTACACATGTATACATGCAGGTAAAACACCCATAAACATTAAGAACAGACAAATCTTTAAAAAAATGTAACTGAGGGTTTTCCCCCACCATAAAAACAAAAACAAAGCTTTTTTAAAGAGTTGGGAGAACAGAGTGATAATTTCACCACATGCTCTAAGGCAGAAGTCAGAAAACATTCTGTGGAAGTTCAGACAGTCCTAACACCATGAGCTTTCAGGGTCACTTTATCTCAAGTCGGTTGTATTATGACTACAGCCCAATATGTACACAGATGGGCAAGGCCATGGATTAATAAAACATTAGTCATGAAAATGTCTGCAGGGCAGATTTTGTCTGAAGTCACATTTTTGCCAAAGCCTGCCTTTAAAGAAGTGTTCATATCTGTGTAAACATACCTAGTATGTGTGTAAGCCTGTATAAACACACCTACTGTATGTATGCAGTCTGTGTAAACATACCTAGTGTGTGTGTGGAAGTCTGTGTAAACATACATAGTGTGTGTATACAAGTCTGTGTAAACATACTTAGTGTGTGTATGGAAGTCTGTGTAAACATACCTAGTGTATGTATGTATGGAAGTCTATGTAAACACACCTAGTGTGTTATGGAAGTCTGTGTAAACATACCTAGTGTGTGTGTGTAAGCCTGTGTAAACATACCTAGTGTGTGTACGGAAGTCTGTGTAAACACACCTAGTGTGTGTGTGTAAGCCTGTGTAAACACACCTAGTATGTGTATAGACGCCTGTGTAAACACACCTAGTGTGTGTATGGAAGCCTGTGTAA